CCTCCCAACTTTTATTCCCACCTCCCTGAGCAGCTGCAACTCCCCCTCTTGCTTAAGAAGAGGCACAAACAATGGAACCCTTTCCCCTTTACAGCAGGAGAGTGGTGGTTAGCTAAATAATGACGGCTGAGCTCGGCAGGTAAGGGCTGCGGAGCTGGGTGTTTCCTCGGGTTTCCTTGCTGGTCTCACTGTCTCAGGGGTTGGGTCCAATGCCCTTTTTACAGGTGAGTATTGAGGCAGAGGCGCTATGTCATTGTCTTAAGGCCTGAAAGCCATGACTAGTGACACTTGGGTTCCCATCAAGTCAGAGCCCAGAACCGAAGCTTTTTTTTTTTTTTTTGGACAGGGTTTCATGTATCCCACCATATATATGTGTACCTAAATGTAAGCTTGAGCATCTGACCCTCCTGCCTCCACCTCCAGAGTTCCGAGAATACAAGCATGGTGCTGTGGTAAAGTTGGTAAAGTAAGTAGGTACTTTACCAACCGAGTCATCCTCCCCGGGCCCTGGCTGTGTGGGGTTATTTTAGATTTATTATTTGTATTTATGTGTATGTGTATGTGCTGCATGGGTTTGTGTGCACCACAGTACCTAAGATTTCCTGAACAGGGGTTACAAGCTATAGGCAGTTGTGATCTGCCATGTGGGTCCTGGGAACCAAACCCAAGTCCTCTGGAAGAGGTGTAAGTGCTCCTAACCACCGAGCCATCTCTCTGTCCCCCTGGCTGTCTAGTTTTCTTTCTCCCCTTTGGATAAACAGAACCATTGAGATAATTATGACTTTCCCCATGTTAAAGAAAAAAAATCTATTGAATTCTGCCTCTGCACTTGAACCTGGCCAGGGCCAACCAAGTCACTTTTTCCTCACCGAGCCTGCAGCTTTTGTGTGTGGTGAGCAGGCTCTCCCAGACTGGCTCAACATGACAGACACACCCTTGGGGGACCCCGGGAGACACACTCTTATATAAGTCCATCCTGAGTAAGGGCGGAATTCCTGATGCTGCCCGATGATCCACGAAAAGGGGGTGGAGCATCGTTCCCGAGAGTACATCACACCGTTGCAGAGCTGGAGGGCTGCTGAGGACGCAGGTAAGGGCTCCAGAGGCAGCTACTTCTGCTGTCCCGAGGGAGGGCCTAACACATGCAATAAAGAGCCTTTAAAAGGAACACTGCATCTTCCTAAGGGGGGGGCCTCTTGTGCCCCTCAAGTGCTGGGATTACAGGCGCAGCGGTGCACACTATCACCCAGTTTTAGGTGGAACTGGGGGTCAAACTCAGGGCTTCCTGCATGCTAGGCAAGCGCTCTACTAACTGAGCCATGTCCCCAGCCCTGTGTGGAGTTCTGTTTTGTTTTGTTTTGTTTTGTTTTGTTTTGTTTTGTTTTGTTGAGGCAGGGTTTCTCTATGTAGCCCTGGCTGTCCTGGAAATCACTGTGTTCCAAGTTGGCCCTGAACTCGCAGAGATCCGCCTGCCTCTGCCTCCCAAGTGCTGGGATTAAAGCCTGTGCCACCATGCCCAGCTTCCTGTATGGAATTTTGTAAAGTGAGAACTTTTTTTGTCAGGCTAGCGAGGTGATTCAGCAGTTGGGAGCATACTGCTTTTGAGGAAGGCCTAAATTTGGATCCAGCACCCACATCAAGGGGCTCAAACCCACTTACGTCCCTGGCCGCCTCCTGTGCACAGACACACACATGCATATAACTAAAGATTATTTTTAAAGATTTATTTATTTATTATGTACACAGAAGAGGGAGCCAGATTTCATTACAGGTGGTTGTGAGCCACCATGTGGTTGCTGGGAATTGAACTCAGGACCTCTGGAAGAGCAGTTGGTGCTCTTAACCTCTGAGCCATCTCTCCAGCCCAACTAAAGATTTTTTTAAAGCTC